GAATGGTTAAACAGGCATGCAGAGGGGGTAGTAAAAGAGGCCTTACAGTTCAACCTATACACGATTGTGTATCTTATTTTCACAACAGTATCATACTGTAAGGGAAAGTTGGTAATGTTGCCCATTGCAATGCCTTTTTTTTATTTTTTAACAGGATGGAATCTGGCCCTTATGGGCAAAGCAAAAATGAAACATTAGATGGCAATGGGTGGCTTCTCAAATTTCTGGCTCACATCATTGCCTTAAAGTGTTACTAAACCCACAACAGTAAAATCAGTCTGTATATGTAGTATAGCATGCTCGTTATACTCACTGTGGATCCTAAGGGGTTAATCCTCTGCATTGTGTAAAAAGGCCATTTGAACCTGTCTTCTCTGACCCTCATCTTGTTTTAATGTCCATGTCTTATGAACCCCTAGCCATTTTGCAATTGCTCAGTTTTTATATTGCTAAAGAGGTTTTTCTTTTTCTTGGGAGAGTGCATGTGATCAGCACAGGGCCAATCAGCACTGTCCAGGCAGAGGTCAGGGGTTTTGCATTCTCCTAGAGCAGAAAGAAAACTTCTCCAAGCTTTAACCAGTGCTCTGCTAAACACTGACAGAAGTCATAAGACTGCTCTTACTGCTGATGAGAAAACGTTTTTAGCAGTTTATATTTACTAAAATAATTGCACTTCCATGTTCTGTGTACTGTGAGAGACCAGACACAGTGAATACAGGGTCCTGGGTTTAGTAACACTTTTACTAATTCGCCTCCACCCTATAGCAGAAATTCTGCTACAGGGCAGTAGGGGGTGCACAAAATCACGTATATATACACGTGATTTTGCAGTTCTGGTTAGGTGGCCCTACCTGTGCCACCATTCGCGGCCTCGGCTATCAATCACCAGGTCCTGGCCGGTGGTTACTCGCTGGTACCCGGTGATTGCCGAGTATTTCTGACGGAGGAGAGACCTGTTAGTACACAATACAGATCTCTCCCCTGTCAGCTCCTGCACACTGCTTTGTATGGCACTGCATAGCAGAGCCATACAAAGCATTGTGCTTACAGTGAAACACAACACACGGCCTCATAGTAAAACAGCACACAGTTACCCCTTTGTTAACCCCTTCCTGCCCAGTGCCATTAGTACAGTGTCAGTGCTTTTTAGTAGCACTGATCACTGTATTGGTGTCACTGGGGATGTCAGTGACAACAAATCAATTCCCCCCAGTGTCAGAATGCCTGCCGAAGTCCCGCTATAAGTTGATGATTGCCGCCATTACTAGTAAAAAAAATTCCAGTATCTATACAGCCATTTGTAGATGCTATAACGTTCAGGTAAACCAATTAATTTACACATATTGGGATTTTTTTTTTAGCATAGACATGTAGCAGAATACATTTTGGCCTAAATTTATGATGAAATTTGATTTTTTACATTTTTTTTACTGAACATGTTTAATAGCATAAAGTCAAAAAATGTTGTTTTTCTAAAAATGTTTTTTTTTGTTTATAGTTCAAAAAATAAACCCGCACAGGCGATCAAATACTACTGAAAGAAAGCTCTATTTGTGGGAAAAAAGGACAGAAATTTCATTTGGGTGCAGCGTTGCATGACCACGCAATTGTCAGTTAAAGTAACGCAGCGCCGTATCGCAAAAAAGTATTATGCACACACACCCCATGTATCCCACAATGCGTTTAGGAAGCTGCATTACTCTGTAAAGATTTGGTGGAAAAGTTTATACATCAGCTATGGCTTGCAGAAAACAGGGTATTTCCATAGGGCAGTTGCCCAGAGTTCAGGGTATGATCATCAGCACAATCCAGAAGATTCTTCACATATATGAATCAGTAGTGCCTGTACAATCTCTGGGATTTATAGGGAAGTCTTGAGTTGTTTTTTTTTTGTTTTTTTCGCTGAACTTTCTTTGCTGTGGCAAACATGAACAGTGTCCTTGCTCCTGTTTACTGCCCTAAAAACTTCACAAATCTATTAAGCATTTATTAAATCTGACATTATTATTGTATCACCTGAAGCACCCAATTATGTATTTTGCACCAATTATTAAATATTACCTACCTACTCAGCCTTTCCTAAACATTTCTTATGTAAGGTCTCCCACACAGCCATTAATCTTCGCACATAAACCTTCGACAGAACAACATATTAAGCAATCATTAACCAAGCTTTGGGCAGCTTTCCTGAAGCCCTTGAAGCACCTTAAGCTCCTACCTGAAGTGTTAAATACTTTTTTTTTTTTTTTCATGGGAACGGGTCTAGCTTTAATCACCCGTTTACAGCCGCTTATGGATTAGATCCATTTTTACATTTCAGTTACGGGTCTATTGATTTGGCATTACCTTTAGCCTCAGTTATAATAAAATAATAGATGCATCTTTGTTTTTAAGCACAAACAATGTTTTCTTTTGGCAATGTTGTCTTGTAAAATAGTTACAAATTAAAAGCAATTTTAAATATTTTTTTTTAGATTTTTTTGTTTTTTAAATTGAACATTATATGTACACTCTTGAACTGTAGAAAAAAAAAAAAAAAAAAAAAAAAAAAAAAAAAGCCTGCAACTACTGCTTGCTCCTAAGGCACAGAATGTTGAAATTAGTTAGCCCTGGCCGTATGTCATACAACTAAGGTGTTATATTAGGCATAGCTCCCAACTGTCCCTGATTTGGAACAAAGTCCCTCTGTCCCTCTTTTTTATTTCTTCCTCATTTTGGTCCGATCTATATACTTGTATATAAAACGCACTAGTTATCTTTCAAAAAATGGTTTCACAATGCTAAACCATTCATCCAGTTTCTAAATTGCTGCATTTGTGAATTTCAAAAACCAGTAAAAAAAAGGAATAGTAGTGGTTAAAAAAAAAAAAAAAAAGCACTTGTGGGTTTAACTAATCATTTTTTTTTGCATAATGCTCCTTTAAGGGGGCGTGTTCTATGTCTACATACTTTTGCTAATAAGAATCTCTTGTTCCCATCGCAAAAAGTTGGGGGGTATGTATTCAGGTTCTTGGTGTACAAAATGCAAAAGTTCTTCAAGCTTTAAAAGGGCCGTAGCAAGTTTTTAGCAGTGCTAAAATTCCACTATGAACATGGTATTTCTACAGTCAGCACTCCCAAGCTGGAGGGTACTTTTTGAATTCAAAGAAGCTGCTTAAAGCGCATTTTTTTGTGAATGTTTGGTGAATATGCTGCCCAACATATTAAGTTTCACAAGCCACCACAAGCTTTCAAAAAGGTGCCAGATATCCAGAGAGCTCCTAACGTTCGGTAGGTTCTGCCTGTGCCGCAATGAAATCCAAAGCAATGGTCTTAGCCCTGCTCTGATGTCTTATGCTGTATTTTCCACATTTCCATAACATAAGGGGTTTGTAGGCCATCCGAAGGACACTGGGCAGGGCTGATAACACAGTTTGGGATTTCGGTGAAGCATTGGAAGGGAGCACCGGAGAGACAAAAGCCAAAAGGCATGGGGAAATCTGCATGTATTGTGGATATTTACTGTAAATATTTTTTTAGTTTAATTTTGCCCTGACACACACTTTAAAACAGAACACCATCTTTTTTTTAAATGTTTAAACAACGTCTGTACATACACTATATTGCCAAATGCAGGCAGCAGGGCTGGATGTTGCTCCTGTGCCTCCTGGGTGCACGAAAACACCAGAATGCAAGTAGCCTATTAATAAATTATTTATTAAGGTTACAACAGTAGCATTCATTCATAAATGCGTGTAGAGTAGGACTTTGCTGTCACACTGACACAGGAATAACAGGCTCCAACCTGCACTAGCAGGCACTATCAGTCCTGGGTTTTTTTGCTTCTCAACCAATGAAAGTTTACAGGTTGCTCAAAACACTATTAGAAATTATCATAAGCTCCTAGTAAAGTCACTAGTTACTGCTGAGGTTATTATTGGTTTTAATGGATTTTCATGTTGCAGAGTTGATTGTGCATTATCTCTAGGATACCTACACTATATTGCCAAAAGTATTGGGACACCTGCCTTTACACACACATGAAATTTAATGGCATCCCAGTCTTAGTCCGTAGGGTTCAATATTGAGTTGCCCGCCCTTTGCAGCTATAACAGCTTCAACTCTTCTGGGAAGGCTGTCCACAAGGTTTAGAAGAGTGTCTATGGGAATGTTTGACATGTCGGATGAGAAGGCCTGGCTCGCAGTCTCCCCTCTAATTCATCCCAAAGATGTTCTATAGGATTAAGGTCAGGACTCTGTGCAGGCCAGTCATGTTTCTCCACCCCAAACTTGCTCATCCATGTCTTTATGGACCTTGCTTTGTGCACTGGTGCGCAGTCATGTTGGAACAGGAAGGGACCATCCCCAAACTGTTCCCACAAAGTTGGGAGCATGAAATTGTCCAAAATGTCTTGGTATGCTGATGCCTTAAGAGTTCCCTTCACTGGAACAAAGAGGCCAAGCTCGACCCCTGAAAAACAACCCCACACCACAATCCCCCCTCCACCAAACTTTACACTTGGCACAATGCAGTCAGACAAGTACCATTCTGGCAACTGCCAAACCCAGACACAGCCATCAGATTGCCAGACAGAGAAGCATGATTGGTCACTCCAGAGAACACATTTCCACTGCTCTAGAGTCCAGCGGCAGCGTGCTTTACACCACTGCATCCGATACTTTGCATTGCACTTGGTGATGTAAGGCTTGGATGCAGCTGCTCGGCCATGGAAACCCATTCCATGAAGCTCTCTACACACTGTTGTTGTGCTAATCTGAAGGCCACATGAAGTTTGGAGGTCTTTAGCTATTGACGCTACAGACAGTAGGCGACGTCTGCACACTGTGCGCTTCAGCATGCACTGACCCCGTTCTGTCATTTTACGGTGCCTACCACTTTGTGGCTGAGTTGCTGTTGTTCCCAGTTGCTTCCACTTTGTTACAATACCACTAACAGTTGACCGTAGAATATTTAGTAGCAAGGAAATGTCAGGGATGGACTTATTGCACAGGTAGCAAACTACTACAGTATTACGCTTGAATTCACTGAGCTCCTTAGGGCGACCCATTCTTTCACAAATGTTTGTAGAAACAGTCTGAATGCCTAGGTGCTTGATTTTATACACCTGTGGCCATGGAGGGCACTGGAACACCTGAATCCAATGATTTGGAGGGGGGTCCCAATACTTTTGGCAATATAGGTTTACATTAAAAAAAAGGCACCTGCGAAGAAGGGCTGGCTGTACTGACTTATTTCTGGCAGTTGTGACTCTTGTGGATCCCTCTACAGCGCTGCTGGCTTCTACTCTTCTTTTTCCTTCCAGTTGCACTACAGGGGGATCAGTTCATGGATATGTACCCCTTTTCATCTGCTGCCTGGGCCCTGTATTCACCTTTCCCCCCACAGTGTTTCCAAATTCCCTCCTCTCTTGCCAGCAGCTTCTGCAGGCACACAGGATTGTTTCAGGATGGAGAGCTGGTAAACTACATAAAGACTGTGTTTACTATGCTTCAGTTTGTGAATGAACAAGAAGCTTCAGAGTGCTTCCCATTCTTTCACTGTCCAGAGGCTGCAGAGAAAGGGACTGGTGTCTTTGTCTCAAATGTGAGACATCAAGGGTCTGATATTTAATCAAAGGCCCCCCAATAGGGCAGTTAAAAATGGAAATATAAATAAATACAATTAAAAAAAAAATTTAAATTTAAAATTCTAAAAAACAATTTAAAATAAAAATAAATGAAAAAAATTGAAGGATTGAAGAGCAGTCAGCATTTGGATTGCTCTTCAGATTGCATAACCCCACATTAGCACTCCGCAATGCTGTACACACTGTTATGGGGCACTTGCAGAGCAGAAATATTTACTTGAATTGGTCTTGTTCGATGGGGTTATAATTTCTGTCATGGCTGCAAAACATAGCATTGCAGTTTACTGAAAATATAAGTTTAATTTTTTTTTATAGGGGGGTCCCTATCAAGTAAGCTGTACTGGGCCCCGTGATTTCTAACAGCAGCCCTGACCATGCATGTCTGTAGCATTTGTTTTTTTGTGTTTCTTTCAGTTGTCTTCCATTCAATAGCTCATTTAATTTTCTTGTGAAGAACTACTGTCTTTAACAAATGAATAGCAGACAAAAACTGAGGCCTCACTCACACGGGCGTAACGATTTGTACATCTGTGCAAAGGGGCCGTCTTCACACATGCAAGATGCAGAAGTATACTGTGCAGACCTCCACAGGCAACTGGCTGCAAGGAGCTCCACGTGAATCCCAGTGTGTACATCCATGCAGATCCAATGGATGGATCAGAACGCAGTCTACGTGACCTGATCCATGCCTTGTACCTGCACAGATGTACATTCTGGGATGCGTGTGGAGATCTGTGCAAGTTAATGCAGTCGGTCAGCTGTCATTGTTTTGAACAGGCTGCCTGTGCAGGTCTGCATAGAACACCTGTGCATTACGTGTGGGAGAAAAAGACCCCCTCACATGGGCTTGGGGTACACCCATATAAATGAAGCCTAATAGATCATTTTCAAACATGCAAATGCTCTAAATTTAGCCACAAGTTTCTCTCGTGTGTGTGGTGATGCGATTACAGTATGTGGCTATATATAATTCAACTGACTTATTCATGTCCCACTTATCACATTTCAGTGTTCCTTGTTCTCTCAAAAGAACTAAAGTGCCATCTTACTTACTTACCTGTGAGCTATTGTTTTTTTTTAAATCCTGTATGCTAACATACTAAAAACACAGTTAAATTACTGGGAGCGATACGGACCTACCTTATTGTGACAAGTGTGCCCTTACTGCCATCTATGCTACATACATTTTGTAACCTTTTATTCCAATCATCCATTATACCGAGTAGATTGTGTTTATCTGATATCTATATTTGTCCGTAGGTCAATGGCACAGTCACTCCTAGTTTATTGGTGTCATATTCCATCTCCTCCATATTTGCACAAGGTGTTCCTTGTGACTCAGCTCTAGACACGTGAGTGACGTGTTCCGTCTATCAATGCCTCTCACGTCTACTTGTATTTAAAAGATAGGCTGTTCTGATCTACAGTAACCCTCTGTCCCACAGGTATGCCAACATCGGGGATGACTTTTCGATAGGGAAGTCAAGAAAAAGGCATCTGAAATAAAACTAGTGCGCATAGCAATCAAAAATTTTTTTTTTCTATGAGGTTTTAGAGGAAATGCTAAAACTCGACTGGCTGCTACATGAAACAACTTTATGAAATAAAACAGAACTCCACCTACATATAATATATACATGTCCCAGAGACCCATGTACTTTAAAAACAACAGGAAGTTCAAGTTTTATTTTCAATGTCATTTATTAAATTAGTCACGTTACATTTGGTATGTCTGTTTACCCATATGTACACATCACACACATACTAAGAATTACACATGTCTGTTTACCCATATGTACACATCACACACACACTAAGAATTACAAACACAATTACCATGAAATGTCACAAATACAGTTGTTCTGCTAGAAGGGCGGACAAACACGTTAATGTACGTCACTAATGTGTTCAGTTCAAGAAAGTGTGTTTGGAGCAGTACAGACAATACATTGACGAACCTAGGAGGTAGATAGGTATGAAAACAGGGAATAAGTGGACTTGATTTATAACAACTGGAGAAAAGAAAAAAAGAAGGGTTTGCCATTAATAATCACTCAGCATAGCAGTACTAAGAGAATGATTATAACCTCAGAGGTGGGACCAGTGCCCCTCAAGGGACTCCACGTAAAAGGTTACAACGAGTACAAAAATCCTTTTTTCTTTCTCATCCACTGATGGACACCGACTGATTTTGGATTTCCTGAAGGTTAAAAACTCCTATTTAGGGGTGGGCAACATAGCAAATCAATAAGCCCTCTGGCTGATCGAAAAAATGTATTATCTATGGCCAGCCTAAGTGCACCCTCTTCTACAAATTCTTTTTCTGATTTGCCTGTGGCCTTAGGCCAAGCCATCAGCCACAGGCAAATCAGTAATAGAATTTGCAGGAGTGGGCGTGGGAGCGTGTTTGTGACCTCTGCGATCAGAGTCAGCAAATACCTGGGTGTCTTGGGTGATTACGTCTTGCATGACTGTGGCAAAAACCTTAGCTGAAAGGGGAGATGTTCCAGTCAAACCCAACGGAGCCAAAAGAAGACTCACAGAATGGGACAGATCCTAGAGCAATGAAAACCATGATTTCTGGCTGCAGACGCTGGCACTGTCAGTAGGCACACTGTACGCAGCCCTGGAACTGCTAGTGGGAGGGGTTATCCTGGGATGGCCTACTGTTTTTATCAGTGTTCAATCCTCCTGTAGAGGGGAGAACAACACAAAGACGTATGTGTCCCTCATTAGAGGAGAAAGTAATTAGATTTTATCTTTTGATATGCTTATACCAGCAAATGTATGGTTGCTATTGGCAATTCTTCACTTCTTTCACTCAAGTTTTTATAGATCAGGGCAGTTGTGCTTTTGGTTGTCAAATATCACAGAACCACAAGACTACATAATGAGTACGAGAAATTATGGAGCAAGGCGTTCATACACCCACCCACCCTCTGCAGGGTGTGTCCAGGGGCTTGTCTCTTCTCCTTCTTTTTGTCGAAATACAATGCGATCATGCAGGCGATTGGTTTGTCCCTGCCAGAACTCAATGACAGAAGGACGGATGATGTACCCTCCCCTGTAAAAGTATTAAAAAATATTTTAGTATGAAGAAAAGTCATGTGATATACACCAGCAAATGCCTTAAAAATACCCACCATTCAGGTGGCCTGGGAACCTCCTTGTCCTTGTACTCCTCCTCAAGTTCAGCATTTTTCTTACGAAGGTACTGTGAGCAAAAAGTAATACTAGATGCATTAACAATAGTTGCAGGTTAAAAACTATTTTTTAGCTTGCAGGTTTTAAACAGTTTTTTAGCAAAAATAAAAAGATGTAAAAAAACACAAAACATTTAATGTAAAAGCCTTCTAGAGCACTAGGAGTTTTTTTTCTTTTAAGAGCTTACAGCAATACTTTTCTCCTTTCAGACTGGCTCAGTCTGATTAAAACCCAGGGATGGAACTCTTCTAATTTATTCACTTGTGTTTGTAATTTCAGTTTGAGATGTTGAGCCCTGTATACAAGAGGCTTTTTTTTTTTTTCCTTAAATGAAAAAAAAATCTGGAGAGTGGGAAAACAGCCAAAAGCTTTTACCTTCTGGTTAGGTATAACAGCAGATATTATTTACATGCAATATTTCATTATTAATCTAACAAAATGTAATCAAACCAGCATTCAGTGCTGTTTCACACATGTGCGGTGTGGATTTAAGCTCAGGCTTCACATCTATTGATACAATAGTTGTTCAGCGGTTCAGGGCAGGTTTACATCAGGTTCAAGACAGGTTTAGAACAGTTCAGGACAGAATTTTATCCTCTTCACAACTGTAAACATGCGGTTTAGAAACGGTTCCCATAGAAGTCAATAGCCTGAAATCCACACCTGAACCGGACGCACTGCTCAGAAATCGGACAGGACTCTGTTTCAATCTGCACTACCAGTGCACTGGAGATATGTAAATAGGTACCATAGGAAGCAATGTTATTTCACATGTCATGAGGACTGGATGCAATTTAAATCGCATTCAATCTGCATATATGTGAACAAGCCCTTAGGCTTAGAGACCTGAAATGTACAGAATCAAGGGGGAGGCCATGTTTCTCCCATCTCTTGAAGTACAGGGCTCTCTCAGTGCAATGGTGTCAGATGGCAGCAATGGGGAAAATTGAGGAAGGTAAATTGATGCAGCTTATTGTGCTTGCTCTACATGTATTGACAGAGAAAGTACCAGTTCACATGGATAGTGGCAGTATTGAAGTCTAAAAAGCAGAGGTCTCCAAATTTTCTAAACAAAAAGGGCCACTTTATTAACCTTCAGACTATATAAGGGTTGGACTGTGGCCAGTGGGAGTAAAAAAATGCCTCAGGCTTGGTGATCAGTGAAAGTAAAATAAACTATATAATGCCATTGGTCAATAGGAGGAGGAATAATGCCCCATTATAGGTATCAGTGGGAGAAATAGTGCCATCAGTGGAAAGAACAGGGCCCCATCATGGTGTCAGTGGGAGCAATAGTGTCCCATAATTGGTACCAGTGGGAGGAATAGTGGCCCATCATTGGTATCAGTGGGAGGAATAGTGCTCCATCATTGGTGTCAGTGGGAGAAATAGTGATCCATCATTGGTGTCAGTGGGAGGAATAGTGACTCATCATTGGTGTCAGTGGGAGGAATAGTGACTCATCATTGGTATTAGTGGGAGGAATAATACCTCATTGTTAATGTCAGTAGGAGGAATAGTGCCCCATTGCTGGTGTCAGTGAGAGGAATAGTGCCCCATCGCTGGTGTCATGGGGAGGAATAGTGCCTCATCATTGGTATTAGTGGGAGGAATAGTGACATCAGAATCCTGACTCTCCCCTGAGATACCGGTGTACTGTGGTCATTCCAAACCAGCCAGATCCAGGGAACATCCAGAGTCCCCCTCTTCATGATCAGCAGCGGGAGGAGCATCCTGCTTGCAGCATCTGCTTACAGCGATTGGAAGAGGGAGCAGAAATCAACAGCCTACCCACCAATTTCACCACCACTGCATCATGAGATGGGCATAGGAGAGGGACTCCACCTGTCTCATCTGCCAGCAAAGGAGGTGCCCTTGGTATACGAAGTGTGTCATTCCTTTACTGAATTATGGAACCATGACCTTCATTACCCTTGGCCTACTATGGGTCAGTTGGGCTTCATTTTACATCAACTTTGTTAATGGAGAGGCCAGGTAAAATAATAATAATAATAAAATTTTTGTTGGGTTTGCAGAAAAAAAGCCTTCTACTCTGTGACGGAAGCTTGATTTAGTTAAAAAATGAATAGCTTTGTATTTTTTAAAGCTAGGGACACACTACCTAGAAAGAGGCCGGTTCAGAAGGAACTGACTTTCAGTCACTGTGTACAGTGGTCTGTCAGACAGAAGCCAGACTAATGACCAGCTTTTGTTGAAGGCATATGCTGGAAAGCCAGCATCCAATTGCCCTCACAGCCAATAGCTGCAAGCGCTGATCAGTGTATTCTGGCGGGAAACTGGCGGAGAGAAGACACCCAGTCACAATACAAGAGGACAGTGAGGGAGATAAGCCTCACCAACCTCATCGCTTGTGTTGGTACAGTGATCAGCCGAACTTGGGAATCCCACTGACAGCTGAAACATTAACGTATGTTTTTCACTACTAAAATACCACATGACTTGATAAAATAACTCATGCGGTATTTTAGTGACATTTTTTAGTGAATTCAAACCTTTTTGTTTTTTAAATGCTGTGCAATATCCTACTGCATACTAGGACGCGGTAAGATACCGCTTAGTGAATTGTGCTTATTGTCCCAAGGTTACCGCTGTGACTTTATACAAAAAAGAAGTTTAGTTAAAATGAAGTAAAGTAAAAGTAAAGAAATAACATTTGGAACAAGTCTTTAGCATTAGAGAGGAGGGAAGCATCTCCCGTTTACTAAACAACATTGTTTTTGCATTCCAAGATTCTCCCATCCATTATATCAGATAATCTAGAGCTTCAATATCGGTCCGAGAGCCTGAAGAACAGCTGTCCCAGAGTTCTGGAAGGGAACAGACCACTGACATTAACTACTCTCTGGTCGAGCAGAACCACCAGAACCAGGGAGCTTCCAGAGTCCACCTGTCTGTAACCAAAACAGGGAGGTGCTGCCTGAGTGCAGGATCTGTCTACTGGAGATAAAAGAGGAAGTTGAATCCACCAGAATACCCTGCACCCAATTTCACACCGATTGCATTACAAGGTGGATGCAGGAGAGCAAAACCTGCCCACTCTGCCAGAATAGGGTCGCTTACTATATATGGGCTAAGTGTCTTACATCTATTAGTCTTTTCTATTACTTTAATTTCTGAATAAAAGTGATGGTTTTAATATCTGGTAAAACATGTAGAAATGATTTTGACATCTAACTTTTTTCTCTCACCTACAGTCCGCGTTTGATCTACCAAATTATGGATGGATGGTCGTTATCATCCCTGGACAATTTGACTGCATGGACCCATCAATTAGTATGCAGTTTAATCTTTCAGCACAAACTCTGCAAATTCAATAACTGAACAATGACATCTGCAGCAGGTAAGCCATGTGTTATAGAAGGATAGATTTCCCCCATTACAATATTCTTCCTGCCACCTACCAAAATGGTCACTTTCTGGAAAATAAGCATCCTTATGCTTGTGTGAAAGCTTTGTGAATACAGCCTATTGACACTGGAGCCCGTTATATTGAATGTAATCTGTAAAGTATGCTAAAATGCAGATCCTTATTACAGAGCGATCAGACGGGTCAAATCCATTAATAAATTGGTGGATAAGATAAAGTCTTCTGCTCTGTGAAGAAAGTTTGGGTAGTACAAAATGAACATTAGCTTTGTATTCATTCAGAATCATGACCCATCAACTTTATTTGGGTTGACTAATTAGCTGCCAAAGGCTATGGAGCTCTTACAGGGCTAATTCACTGATATTTGATACCAAAATTGTTGGTGAATGGTGGAGGTAGGAGTGAAGCTCCTGATGTTAATAAGGACATGAGCAGAACCCACTGGTCTCCCAGGAAGCAATAAAACCTAAACAGAGGTTCTAAGCTTTCCCTGCTCCATGCAAAACAAAACAAGAAAACATTTTGCTTTTTTTTTTTTTTTTTTTTTTGTTATAGCTGCTTCGGTTGAACCAGGAGATGGATGCAAGAGACAAGAATATGTCCTCTGAGCCAGCAGATGGTCACTTGGCCGATTTCACTATGTGTCTTTCATCAGTCGCTCTTTTCTTCCAAAATTGCCCACTTTGACCATTGTTGGGTAACAGTGATTATTTTGTTAGCTGGTAAAATTATTTAGAACATTTGTTGTTGAATAAGTATATTTCTTTAAAAAAAAATGTTTGTTTTTTTCTCTCCCCACAGATACAGCCGCTAAAATTGTGGACAGATGATCACCATCACCTCGGACCAAGCCATCCATCTGCATTATCTTTTAAGATAGATAAATATTTAAGTTAGTTAAGTAAGTTAGTAATATACAGGCAGCACAGTGGTTAGCTCTCATGCTTGGCAGCAATGGTTCCTAGTCTCTTATTCCAACCAGGATACTACCTGCATGGAGTTTGCATGTTCTTCCTGTGCTTAAGTGGGTTTCCTCCGGGTACTCTGGGTTCTCCCACTCTAAAGAAACCTAACCTATAAAGCATGTCTTTGGAGTAGGGTAGGAACTGGCCAGAGAGGGATTACTTTGATGCAGTTGGCCAGCTTAAACATGCACTGCAATGTATGTTAACTAAAAATCCCTGATTTTAGGCAAAGTTTCCCACAAAGGGTGTACAGCAGTGTGCAGAGGGTTCATTCAAAAATTTATAATAAAGTGTGAGAACAGTATTTGTATCAGGCTGGTCATGTATTCATTATCATTCACCTATGACATTCAGAAAATGTAATAAATGGAGGCTTATCTTTGTCCACATTCCATTGATATCAGTAATGTAATAAATTCAGATATAAGCAATATAAACATTTCTATGTAGTTCATGGTAATTGAAATGCTCATCTAACAAACGCTGGTCATAGAGGGATAAAATTTAGAACAAAATTTCTAAGGAAAATATGTATGAAACATATGAAAATTCTCAGAACATTTGAACGTCATTCAAAAGATGAATGAATCGACTTTACCAAATGAAAATCACATATACTATTAGAAATGTGTTTGTTTGTTCGAGAAATAGTTGATGCCAGTGGGAGGAATCGTGCCCCACTGTTGGTGTCATTGGGAGGAATAGGGCCCCATTGTTGGGGTCAGTGGGAGGAATAGTGCCCCATTGTTGGGGTCAGTGGGGAATAGGGCCCCATTGTTTGTTGGGGGAGGAATAGGGCCCCATTGTTGGGGTCAGTGGGAGGAATAGGGCCCCATTGTTGGGGTCAGTGGGAGGAATAGGGCCCCATTGTTGGGGTCAGTGGAGGAATCGTGCCCCATTGTTGGTGTCAGTGGGAGGAATAGGCCCCATTGTTGGTGTCAGTGGGAGGAATCGCGCCCCATTGTTGGTGTCAGTGGGAGGAATCGCCCCATTGTTGGTGTCAGTGGAAGGAATCATGCCCCATTGTTGGTGTCAGTGGAAGGAATAGTGCCCCATTGTTGGTGTCAGTGGAAGGAATCATGCCTTAAGGGCCAGATAAAGGCAAGCCAATGGCCACAGTTTGGAGACCACTGCTCTAAAGCTTGCTCTACACATGAGATGGTAGAGAAGACTTGCACATTCATGTCATATCGCCCAAACTGTATGTACGAATTCTCTACTGCCATATTATATCAGGGGAACAACAGAGATTGGCAAGGATCAGGCATCGAATTGTCATTCATAAGGCCTTGTTACTCACCTCTCGGTCTGGGATAACTTGACTCTGATTGCTAACAGCAGCACCAATCTGGCTACCTTTTGGACGGGAGTGAAAGTACTTGTCAGATTCTTCATCTGAAGTCTTTTCAACTGACCCCTCTATTCGGACCTAATAGAAATCAAACAATTTGTAAGCATTTTACCACCTGACTGCAACATAAACATATTATGCCTTGTTCAAGAGTGACACATTGCAATATGGTTAAACATCAAAGGAATCAGAAACATGAACAGGACTGTGTAAACTGACCTAAGTAAATCCATGGATATGCAACCCATTTTTACCATACTCCTTGCCTTGTTATCCTCACTTTGAGTTGGTTTCAGCGCAGTGGCATCACAAACCAGCCCCTGTAAATGATGCGGTTGGTGCCAGCTCACCGATCAACGCATTGTCCCAGTCAGACACTTCCTATTTGATGGTGCCTGTCACCCCTCTTGGGTGTCAGCCATGTGTGGCGCCCCCCCCCCCTTCCCTATAGCAATGCCATGGTTTCAGCTAGTTTAGCAGTGTTTGGCCCAGGAATATGATGAGGGAGTGGATGAGCTGTTTAGTGGTTTCTGGGGTTAGGAATGTGCGGATTTTGGCGATGTTGCGGAGGTGGAGTCTGCACGAGCCTGTTAAAGATTGGACTTGGGGCTGGAAGGATAGGTTGGAGTCCAGAATGACACCAAAGTTTTGAACATGTGAAGAGGTGCAAAAAGGCATGGAAAGCCAAAAGGCACCAACTGAAATCTATCAGAAATTATTTATTTATTTATTGCAGGTACTTATATAGCGCTGTCAATTTACGCAGTGCTTCACATATATATTGTACATTCACATCAGTCTCTAACCCTCAAGGGGTGTACAATCTAAGGTCCCTAACTCACATTCATACATACACATGCTAGGTACAATTTAGACAGGAGCCAATTAACCTTCCAGCATGTCTTTGGAGTGTGGGAGGAAACCCACGCAGGCACAGGGAGAACATGCAAACTCCAGGCAGGTGGTGCCGTGGCTGGGATTCGAACCAACGTCCCTAGCACTGCCAGGTGGAAGTGCTAACCACTGTGCTGCCTGCCCCTTGTCACACAAGAAACATCTGATGATGGGTAAAAGCAAAGCGCTCTCTCAAGACCTTCACAACCATTGTTGTAAACCTACTGATGGTACAGAAGGATTTCTAAACTTCTGAATGTTCCAGTGAGCACTGTTGGGGCCATAATCTGGAAGTGGAAATAACATAATTTCACCATAAACCAGCCATGACCAGGTGCTTTAGAAATATATACACCGAGAAAAATGGTGAATTGTTCAATATTTATTTTACTGGCTGTAAGTTGTACCTGTTTATCCACGTTTTCTCTTCTCTACATCAGTTCAAAGTTCAGAATTTATAAAGCTTGTCTGAGCTGTCAGAAAACAGGGCGTGGGGAGCTGAAATCACATTCTGCAGAGCTCAGTGAGGAGAGCCCTGAGAGCTGATTGGAGAGAAAGGACATACCCCCTCCCCTTCACACAGCACACAAGAACAGAGCTGATGCTGCCAATCACAGGCTGTGTGTTGGGAGTTCCCTCCCCTGTCACTCTTTTCCTCTTGGTGTCATAAAAACTGTCACAATTGATTCATGCTGATAGCAGAGGAACAAAGCAGTAGACAGAAATGACACTTAGTACTTTTAATTGAGACAAGTACACACTATTGAGGGATATGCTTTGTTCATATTTCATGTCTGAGGTTTGCAATCACATTAAACTTGTCACAGACAGCCAGCACTTTCATTCTCTGCTTCAAAAGATTAGATCACTATCTCTTCTGAAAATTTACCTTCAAGCAGAAATATAACTATAGTCAATAAATTCTTAATTGATTCTGAATGTTCTTTTCCAAAAAAAACCCAAAACAATTGCTTGAATAGTGCATGTACTGTTTAAATCTGTTGAAATACTGGTTAAAAAAGAGGTAATGGATACATAATATATGCAGTTGTACTGTAGAGGTGGGGTAGAGGCCAGAATAACTTCTTTCTAAATATTCAGCAGTGTGCAATACTTCAAAAGAGTGGAGAATCCCTGGCATGCGGAATGGCTCGAAATTAAGGTCAAGCTACCTGTGATCATATTCTATAAAGCAAAGCACACAAGCTCAGAATAAAACACAAATGTTTCAAGCAGAAAGGCGGCGTTCCTTAGAATGTTGGTATATTTATCTGCCAATAGATATACTTTTTGTTAATACCTGCAAGAACATTTCTATATTGTGACAGTGCAAGGCCCTGCCAAGATGTAGGAATAAAGTGTTACTAAACCCACAACAGTAAAATCAGTCTGTATATGCAGTAAAGCATGTTTGATATACTCACTGTGGAACCTAAGGGGTTAATCCTCTGCACTGTGTAAAAATGCTGTTTGATCCTGTCTTCTCTGATCCTCCCCTTCTTGTACTGTCCCCAATCCATCTGCTGATTGTACAGAGCTCTAGGAGACACTCTGCACATGCTCAGTGTAGTGTGTATTGCTAGTTTTTTTTTTCTTTGGGAGGATGCATATGATCAGCACAGGGCCAATCAGCACTGTCCAGACAGAGGGTCAGGCGTTGTACAGCCTGATAGGACAATCAGAGGAGAATGAAAACTCCTCCTACAAGCTTTAACCAGTGCTCAGCTGGACACTGATAGAAGTCACAAGACTGCTCTAACTGCTGATGAGAAAAGGTATTTAGCAGTTTATATTTAGTAAAATAATTGGATTTCCATGTTATGTGTACTGTGGGGGACCAGAGAAAGTGAATGCAGGGCCCTAGGGTCTTAGAAACACTTAGTGAAGGTAGAAATCACACAGGATTCGCATTAAAGCTAATTTGAAACCCCTGAGTGTTTGTTATGAGAGGAGTAAATTGTTTCGTAACTTTTTCCCTGGGTTTGGTAGTTCCAGATCGGGGCCTGGAATGTGAAGGTTCCAAGGTGTCTTGGGTGGGAACCTTCAGCCCCGGTTTACACCGTGGACCCCATTTGAATCACACAGGAATCGCATCGCCTTCCTTTGCAAATCACATGCCATTCTGTTAGGGTTACCACCTCATCCCTTTAAACCCAAAACACATTTTATTATACAGGTTCTGTGGCCGATTAAGGTGGTACTTAAATTCACTTAGTGCCTTATCTGCATTACATTAGCCCCAGAACCAGTGTAATTAATATGTGTTCAGGTTTAAAAGGATGAGGGGGCAACCCTACATTCTGTGCAATTTAAACAGGTGAAATTTGAGCTCATTCATTTTTGATAGCTCAAATCGCACTGCATTCACAGCAAAAAGGTGCAGGCACCTTTTTTTAAGCCACACTGGATTCAGATCACATGGGTGTTTATACCCATTCGATCCGATTCAGGCAAAAGCACTGCGTTTGTAACCTGCTTTTTAACGGACACCTGGAGAAGATCACAGAGTACAATGCAACTGTAATGCGGTGTGAGAAAAAGCACAGGATTTGCTGCGTTTCCCACACCACATGTGTGAGAACCTAGGCTCAATCCTGTGTCTGGGTTTTGCTACAAGTCTATATCATGTGAGAGTACACAGGTGTGCAGGTTTGTTATAAACCAACCTTGAGGATAGCTCAGGGCAGTTGCTACCATTCAGAAACAGTCATTGTGTGAAGATAGTGGTGTGCTCCAGCCAGAATGGATGGTCTTCTTGGGAGACAAGACCCTATGTTGGGAGGAATAGTTGCTCACAGGACTTGAAGAGCCTGAATAGCTATGTAGGCCTGGAGAGATTGAGAAAGCGGAGATCACTAGCGAATCCACAGAGGGGGCTGGTGGGAGTTCCTGAGAAGTGTGAGAGAACCCGGGTGCTGGGGAGACCTATATGGAGGTCAGGAGTGGGCCAGTACAGCGAGGTGCTGTAACAATAAGGCTAAGTAAGTCTGACGAACCTGTGGTTTGGGAGATCAGTTCCAATAGCTGATGAAGTGTAGCCAGGTGAGTTATCATTTTTCATTGCGTTTGGTTGCTGAACAGGGGTGGACTGACAACTCATGGGGCCCCCGGGCAATAGGGGATCATGGGGCCCCTGTGTCCTCACCCACACCCAAAAAAGCTTATGAAAAAGCCAATGAAAGGTACCAGGAGCATCTCATGGGGCCCCCTACTGACCCTTGGCCCTTGGGCAGTGCCCGAGTGCTCGAATGGCAGTCCACCCCTGTTGCTGAAGAAGAACCCTTGCAAGGGCAACCAGTATGACCTAAACATTGTGTTGGACTTTGTGTTTCAAGCAGAGTGGTCTGCCGAGTCCTTTACTATAGTTCCTGTCAGACATGGATTCACTTAAAAATGCTCACCACTTCTGAGTCTAATTACCCAATATTATAATATTTATCAGTAAGTTGTGCTAGTGGGTCATTTTGTTTTTTGAAGAGGTCCCTGTGTAAAGGTTACTTGGCCTGTGTTTTTATGGCAACTTTACTTTTACTATGATATAATGTTTTCTGCCAAACTTAAAAGCATTGTAAAGTTGCAAAACTCTGTAAAAGCACACCCATAAGGTTTATGCAGCAGTTTGCAAGAATCTAGTGTTGCCACAGCAACCTCCTACCCCATAATAACTGTCGTAGACAAATGGTATGAATCACTGGGAGAGGCTTTCTGCCATAAGAGCAACCTTTCCAGTTCCTGAGTGTGCACTGTGTAGCATTGTTTCCACACAGATTCTAATCACTGAAAGAATAGATAGCATGAGCCAACCTGGGAATTACAAGCGTTCCCAAGAGATGACTTTAGTGCACGCGGCCCAGTTTTTGTTGTACATTGTCAATATGTTTCCTGTTTTAATAGCAAAGTCCACTCCCTGCCTATTCAGTTAATAACAATAATAATAAGTTGATGATATATTTTCTACTCAGGGAAAAAAAAAACATATTTGCATATGCAAACTAAAAAGTGTCGACAATGCATTCCATCTTTACACCTAAAAAATGGTTTTCCGCGCACTCACACATTTCATTTAGATGTGTGAATTATTTAAAAACGAACAGGCTTTTATCTTTGAATGACTTGTATGCCCTGTACGTCCTCTCTTTTGCTAGTCCAACTGTCCACTCCAAAGGCTTTCCTATGCTTGCATATCAAGGGCTTGCAACCTCAGCGGATTTATGCTTTGGCAGTAGCTAAGCCCAGTTTTTCACTTTGATCTGTGATGAGGACTTATTATTGATATGCATCCAGATGCCTAGCTGGTACCATTGGCCAGTTTCTGGTCTTTTACTAATTTGTTTGTTTGTTTGGATTATAGGAATATAGGTTAAAGAAGGAGGGTAGGGGTTAGGTGCAGATTGGTCGTTCAGAGCTCAATGCAAGAGTAGGTTGGGGAAGTTAGGTGTGGTGTAGGTGTTATAGGCCCAGAGTTAAGAGCTCGGTCTCATATCTTGAAATGAAGTCTAGACATACCAACTACACCACTATTTTTTTGCGTACAGATGACAATAACAACCAGCAAAGTCTAAAAAAGAGGGAGAAGGTAAAGTGAAATCGTGAAAAGAGGGTCATTATCTTCATGGAACAGAACATGCCACATTAAGCCTATAATGCAGCCAGGGGGGTCCGGCAAAACCGGTCAGGCGGGGTCATCTGTCTTACCAGGATCTATGATGGGCTATTCTATGGACTGATAAGTAAACATTCCTTATATACTTTGGAACAAGGGGCAACTCTTTGAATAATGGAATGGAATATGGCCACTAATCTTACACTGTTAGACCATCTGTGATCCTCAGGATGGAGTCAACAAACACATGGGAGATATATTTGTTGTTAACGCTTGCATTGCTGGCTCCCAACTAAGCAGGTGCAAACAAATTTCAAGCGGCTAATTGTGTAAGGGAGGTTCATGTTTATATGCATCTTGGCTGATATACAATCGATAAAGAGACATTACAATGGACCACATTCAGCTATCTCCTCTTTGGTCGGCATGTCTCACGGCCATATATATTAATCCAGAACAGCTCAAACACAATTTATCCAGCAGAGTTACCAGTCGGTTGTTCTCCAATGTCCAATATACCAGCAACCATTTTGCTTTGTACCACAGTACCATGCTTTGAGTCTTAACTATTGATTCAGCATATTTTGAATATAGTCTTAACAATGGACTGAGGGTGGGAAACATCTATTTAGCAGCTGCACATTTTTATTGAGTGGCCACATTTCCACATTTTCCATTTTTTCTTACTCTCTATGCCTGTCCCTTTCATTCTGAGAGCGCTCCGTCTAATTGATATAACATGAATATTGAGTAATGAAAAGTTATATAGATGTTATTTGGTCCAATAGATTTATGGACATGACCTTTGACTCATTAAATGGGTTTATGCATGCGTGTAATTTGTCTTGTTTCTTCTTTTTAATCAATAAAGGTCATCAGTCAATGATCTCTGTCGGCATTTAAATTAGAACATTTCACCTTGACATTTGAATTATTTGGCTTTGAGATGTTGAGCTAAAACCATTCTTTTATGCAAGGAATGTCTTTGATACAAAGGATTGTGGTTTGCACTCCTCGTTTTACATACATATGCTTATTAGAATTAAGCCTTTTTCTTTTCATTTTTAAACACGTGGATGAACAGATACAGCATTCAGTGTGGAACTTAAAAAGCCATAAATAAAACAAAATTCTAATAGGGAATATACTACTAAATAAAATACTTCTAAACTGGTCAACAAATAACATCTAAAAATACCTTAATTGTTATTGTAGCTTATTATTTTGCACTGTTGTCTCAGTTCCATTAAAAAAAAAATGCAGACTTGATGGGGAAACAGAAATATGTCACTGCCATGTGTCATTGTAGCTACAGGGTAATCAGCAGCATGGTATGAAGCATGGGAAGAGTAGACAAGAGAGCAGGAGGTCTTGGGAGGAGCGGAGAGGATGGTTTGGGTGATATTTGACAAGGCAAGATTGGTGATATAACTGGAGATGAAGTTGTGAAAGGCTTTGTATGATGTTGTTAGTATTTTGAATTTAATTCGCTGGGCAATTGGAAGCCAGAGGAGGGATTGGCAGAGAGAGGTGACAGACACTGAGTGGTTGGTAAGGTAGAGGAGTCTGGCAGCAGATTCCTCCATCCACACAAACAAGGCAGATGGAGGAATCACCCACCCCCCCAGGACGTTGTATTCTGACAGTGGGCTTTGTTCATTGAAAAAAGTTTTCCAACATGTCCCTCTGACAGAAGTTGATCAAATGATCCACTTCTGTCGAGGGGAGACATAGATAATTAGGTTGAAAGAAGACACAGGTGCATCTAGTTCAATCAATAAAAACCCCCCCCAAGATTAAATAAATAGAAAACCTCGATATACATAATCCTATACCCACAGTTGATCCAGAGGAAGGCAAAAAAACATATAAAAGCATGATCCAATTTGCTCCAAGGGGGAAAATTAAATTCTTTCCTGAACCTCAAGGCAATCAGATATTCTCTTCAGCAACAATCCCTGGTGTTATTACCTACAAATGTTAATATCCAGTTATATTTTGTGAATTTAGGAATGCATTCAGCTCTTTTTTATTTTTTAAATCAATTTACTGAAATGGCCAGAACTAATTCTTGAGGGAGTCTATTCCAAATTTTCACAGCTCTTACGGTGAAGAAGCCTTTCCATATGTGGAGGTTAAACCTCTCTTCCTCCAGATGTAAAAAGAGTGCTTCCATGTCCATTGTGATGACTTTAAAGAGAATAACTATATGGACCACCTGTAGATTTATACATGGTGATCATATCCTCCCTTAATCTCCTCTTCTAATGAGAGAATACATTCAGTTCCTCTAATCTTTCCTCATAGCGGAGCTCCTCCATGCCTCTTATCAGTTTGTTTGCCCTTCTCTGCACTTTCTTCAAGTCCCCCCCAATATCATTTTTGTAAACTGGTGCCCAAACTAAATAGCATATTCCAGATGAGGTTTACTAATGATTAGTATATAGGGGCAAAATGATGCCTCTCTTTTGGAGTCTATACCTCTTAATACAAGAATGTATTTTGCTAGCTTTTGAAACTACAGCTTGGAATTGCATGTTATGAAGCGGATGTCCAGTCAAAATCTAAGGCTAAACCATTGAAGAGATCACTGGAGTATTTTTAGCCTTAGTTAGATTTTGAGTGAACTTGCAGTTTAAGTCTAGGACCTGCCAGAACACCCAAATCTTTTCTTGACTCTGCTAAAACAGCTGAATTTCAATACATCTATGACTCGCTCCCCCCCTGCTCCCCAAAAGGTGCCAAATCTTAATGGGGGGAGAGACCAGTCCTTAAAGCGGAACTTCCCCTTTTGGGTGGAGCTCCACTTTAACTTGTGTCACTTGGTAGTTGGATTGGTGGTGAGCGCTTGGATAGTGTTTAAAGTTTCACCAACATGTGAATGTCTTACCTGACGATTGAAAGGCTCCCAGAAAAACAGGAGAGAAGCAAATGGATTGGCCTCCTATAGAAACAAATTAAGATTTTAGGATACCTAACAAGCAAACACTTTAAATGTAAATTCAGCAATACATTTTGTGCTAAAGTTTTGGACAGTTGAAAGGTTTAGAAATACTGTGACAGGAAATAAGGGAAGTCTCTCAAGTGGAGACACAGACCAGGATAAAAACCTGGCTGGGCATCTTACACTGCCCGCTTTAAAAAAAAAAAGAAAAAAAAAAAAAGAAAAGAATATTTCAAATACTCGTGTCTCAGATTGGTTTTGAAAAAGAGGTGGGAGACCCTGTCCCCAACAAGGACAGGGACGAATTGAAAACAGACATCCTGACCCTTCCCTCTTCTATCCAAAACAAAACATTTTGGCTGCAGCTCACTTTTAGGCTCCATGCACACTGGGCGTTTTAAGAACGCTGGTAGCGTTAGCTGTGTAAAGTCACTCACGTTAAAAACGCAAGTATTTCAGCATTTTTGCATTAGCATTTAGCCACAGTTGTGTTTTTTAGCGTTTTTTTTTTTTTTTTTTTTACCAAAAAAAAAATCCACAAATCCTGGTTTACCGTGTTGTGCAGTGTTTTTCAGAGTTAGGGCTAAAAAAACCTCACTAGTTCTGTTTTTTTTTTTCCAGCCAAAAAATGCCCCTGCCAAACACCGCTGGACACAAGGTAACATGCTGGGGAGTTTATGGACTGTAGAAAAAAACCCCCCGCCAAAAGCCAAAAATGGCAGCTGTAAAAACGTCCAGTGTGCATGAGGACTTAACATGTACTATTAACAAAGGAGAATAAGATAAGCTCGAAGGAGAAGCATGGGGAAGGTACACACTAGTTGTTTTCTCATCTTATAGCCATCTTTCACACCATACTGCATGCATTAGTGAGTGCATAAAGTTTTTAGCTCACTCTGTGATACGCTGAAATGTGTTTTTTTTAACACATATTGCAATATGGTTTTTGGGACACTTTTCTTGTTCTTAAAGTGGTCCATTGTATTTTTTTTCTTTTTAGGGGGCCCCAGGTGGGTTATGTCATAATGTGCTAGTATGCACCGCATATTAGCACATTACGGCAAATTACCTGTCAAACTGTGCCGTCCAGTGGTGCGGTGATATTGATCCAATGGCCCTGGGCACTTCCATCTTTGCCAGGCTTTCCTTCCAGGTTACGTAGCTTCGGATATTTGAATGGTCAGGCTGTGATGACATCTCTCCCACACATGTGCGAGGGAGTCACATCACAGATCTGGGGCCATAAATGTTCACTGATCTGTACATGTGCAGCTCAGGATACATGACGACTGGCAGGTAGGAGGGAGCATTTATGACAGAAGAGACCGATAGGGTCAATTCTGTCATAATTACCCTGCCTGTCAGCAATTCTTTAAAAATGGAGTTTACATCCACTTTTTTTTACTGTACGCTGCAGCACATTGCTACCTAAAAATGCAGCATGTCTTCAGAGGAAATAAGCAGATGAAAGGACAGGAAATATGATAAACCAAATGAGCAGCACTTTCTCCTTTAAATGCATAAGCTGTTTAAAGTCCACCTTTTGAAAAAAAATAAATGTACCCACAAATACAGGAAAATGCTTTTTTTTTTTTTTTTTTTTTTTTTGCATGAGCCTCCAAAGCATTGCAACTACGATCAGTGCAATGCACATGTTCATATTAACTCTTCCTGCAGCCCCAAGAATGTACCAAGGCATGGGCTTTCTGTTGCTGACCTGGAGGCCATGTCAATGGACTACAAGTGTGGTAATCACTTTGCGTTCCATTTATAAGTACAAGTCTTTCTGCCGTAGTTTATTCATTCACAGAACACCCTAAATATGGGTGTAACATGGCTTAAAATGCATACTTAGACAGTTACACACACCAGCCCTGGCACCTGGATTTACTGACAACAGAGGGGTCTTCCTACCACAGGAGCAGCTGAATCTGGGTGGGAGGTTGGCAGGTAGGTTCCTTCTTTCTTCACATACATACAAAAAGGAGTAAGGACCAAAAATGAATGCTTGGTTAAGGAATTGACTCTCTTTTAAAAAATAATAAGATGGTCTTATGGAGTCAGAGGGCAGAACTAACTCATAGTATTCCCACATGTGCTGAGTCCACGGGAGGGGCTGGCTGGAGTTGCAACAGGCCTTTCCCAAGTCTATGTATTAGCAGGAAGTTCCAGTACATCATTTGTGGCACTGCATTTACATTCTTTCTACAGTACGATTCTATGGAACAATACTGGGACAAATAGCTGTTGTCCCTGCTGTCCCCTTAAAATGTACAGTATCCACTGGTAAAGACTCTAAACAATTATATGTACTCTATTGTGAGCACAAGCCAATGTTCAGCAGCTGCGTTGTGCAGTACTGGAAACGCGTTGACTGTAGCACCTCTTAGATTGTAAGCTCCAAGGAGCAGAGTCCTGCTAACCCTCTTGTATTGAATTGTATCATTGCTGTATTGTCTCCCTTTATATTGTAAAGTGCTGAGCAAACTGTAGGTGCTATATAAATTCTATATAATAATAAAACCTAATTTTGGACTCCAGCACTTCAGTATGGCGCTTTGATTTTCAGACTTTATTATCACTTCTATAGTCCAAGATTACCATCTTGGATGCAATGTCAGCAACCCCAGCAGATTCACAGCTGTCACTATAGTATTCCCCTTCAATCCTCTCTGGCAGCTACATACAAAGTGATGTAGAATGGTAAAAGGAAAAGTGAAGGACTTGGGCTAGTACAGAGTGTAATTAGACACAGCCAGAAAAGGAGAGGTTATGACATATAAGGGGAAGGGGGCTGTGATAGGATTCTGTCTAGAGTAGTTTAAATTTTCAAAGGAACATTGTAAATGAATAAAAACATTTATTGAAAAGGGAAAAAAATACAAGTAAGCATTTCAAATATTTGATATTTCTGTAGCTTTCAGTTGAACTTTTTTAAGTTAATAGGATTTCTTTAGGCGTGTAGGTTTTACAATTGATTTCAATTAAAATAATAATAATTAAAAAAAAAAAAAAAAAAAAAGACAACATAACCTATAATTTCTGTAAACTTGCTGGAGATTTTAATTCCCACCAAGATGATCCCAAAGCTGACTCCTTTACAAATCACAAGAGGTTTTCTAGTATGGAGCAAATTTCTCACAATGAGATTCAATAGCATCTCCTATCTTAAAGTTACACTGTACAAAACAGCTACCAACATATTTGGGTAATTTTCTCACTTTGATGTGGCCAGTGTGCCCAAAATTCATGTACAGTGGGGATCGAAAGTTTGGGCACCCCAGCTAAAAATTTGTATTAATGTGCACGATTTGACTGCACGATCCCTCCAGAAAGATCTGGCAGACGCTGGAGTTGTGGTACACTATTCCACTATAAAGAGATACTTGTACAAATATGGTCTTCATGGAAGAGTCATCAGAAGAAAACCTCTTCTACGCCCTCACCATAAAAATCATCGTTTGAACTTTGCAAATGAACATATAGACAAGCCTGATGCATTTTGGAAACAAGTTCTGTGGACCGATGAGGTTAAAATTGAACTTTTTGGCCGGAATGAGCAAAGGTATGTTTGGAGAAGAAGGGGCACAGAATTTAATGAAAAGAAACTCTGTCCAACTGTTAAGCATGGGGTTGGATCAATCATGCTTTGGGGTTGTGTTGCAGCCAGTGGCACAGGGAACATCTCACGAGTAGAAGGAAAAATGGATTCAAAAAAAATTTCAGCAAATTTTGGATGGTAACTTGATGCCATCTGTGAAAAAGCTGAAGTTAAAGAGAGGATGGCTTCTACAAATGGATAATGATCCTAAACACACCTCGAAATCCACGGGGGATTACATCAAGAGGCGTAAACTGAAGGTTTTGCCATGGCCTTCACAATCTCCTGACCTCAATATAATTGAAAATCTATGGATAGACCTTAAAAGAGCAGTGCGTGACAGACAGCCCAGAAATCTCAAAGAACTGGAAGACTTTTGTAAGGAAGAATGGGCAAAGATACCTCAAACAAGAATTGAAAGACTCTTGGCTGGCTACAAAAAGCGTTTACAAGCTGTGATACTTGCCAAAGGGGACAGTACAAGATATTAACTCTGCAGGGTGCCCAAACTTTTGCAGATGCCATTTTTTTGTTTTCTGTTATTTTGAAAGTGTAAATGATGGAAATAAAATCTAACTTTTGTTGACATATTATAAGAATGTCTAATCTGTAATTTGATGCCTTTTGGAGATTTTTCCATCTTTCCTTGGCTTCTTTATGCACATTAATACAAATTTTTAGATGGGGTGCCCAAACTTTCGATCCCCACTGTACCTGTCTAGAACCTGTACTTGAATTTTACGCACACTACTCCACTTTTAGAATGCCTGCAAGACATAATAAGCTCCACTTTTGTAAGATACAAACTGTGGGTATTTTATTTTGAACTTGAAGCAAGCGTTGTGCCACATTTAACATGTGGCGCATTTTAGAACTATCTGAATATTGCATACGGGTCACAGTCAGAACCAAAAGTGTTGCAGATGCTTCATGAATTTGGTGCAACACATTGACAAGAGGGATCAACGCCAGAAAAGTGGTGTGGCAGCTTTACGGAATTCCCCTCTGCTTGTTTTATAGTGGTTTTCATGCGATATTATTAGTTTGTTCTATTGTTCCTGAATCTTAAAGCCAAGAATGTTGGGAGTGCTCTGGCAGCCTCGAAGATATGTTTTAAGCATGCAGCTGATTCCTATAAGACAGAACCCTCACCAGCTCTTTCCCTTTTCTGCTTTCCCGGTTAGTGTAGAATCGGAACCCATCCGAGCCAAACCCTTTCAGGAGAACCATACGGGTAGAGGGTTTCCCATCCCTACACAGGAAAACATGGGGAAAGGTGAGGTGCAAGAAGGTAAAGAAAAGGTGCAAAAAAGTAAAGGACAAAGTAAAAGGTATAGTAAGGAGATATGTACTTAGAAGACCCAGAGAAATGAAACCAGTACCTTGTTGCAGTGGCCAGACACATGGCATTTGGTTCTACTATGGCTGGGCATTCTAAAACTTCCTGGAACCAAGCACTGAACTGAGCAATTGGATCAAGAGAGGTTAAGTGAGTTTCTTCAAAAGCCTAATAAAAAAAAAAATAAATAAATAAATAATATGAGAAATGAGGCAAAACTTAAATTCAATCATTTTCACTTAAATTGAATTCCAGATAAACAGCTAAAACAGAATTGAAATACATATCTATGGCAGTTATCTTACCTGCATTTCCATCCCTCCTGGTAGTGAGAGTTACACAGTTTTACCGCACAGCCAGCATTATAAGCTGACTTTTCTCTGCTGCAGTTAAGGCAACATCAATTCCCTACCCCAAGCCTGTGACTGAACAATGCAGGAGAAGCAACTGATAAGGTCAATATAATTGCATATGTATGTTAAACACACACTTTTGCTGATAAAAATTGTCTTCCAAAGAAAAATAAGACTTTTTTTTTTTTTTACTTACCATAAAATCTGGTGGTCCATTGAGGAACACTAGAATTTCTATCACAGTCTGGTTATACTTCCACCTACAGAAGGTTGGGACACTGGCAAACAGAAAAAGTTTTAAGCCAGCTTCCATATAAAGCATCCTCCACCAAGCATACCTTGGTTTTGTGAGAAAGTAGGGATGCACCAATACTGAGTATTTTCACGAGTACTGATACGCTCTGTGCACAAATGACCTACAGTTATGGGAAGAGCATAAATGTATATTTTTTTAAAATCAGATTAGTTTAGATTTATGGAATAGTATTTGTGGACTGCAGAGTATTTTTTTAATAAAGTTGATCTATCCTTTAAATCTGTTAAAATACATCCCAAGTTCATCAAAACAAAAAGGTGTGCTCTGTTTTTCCAAAACGGTTACAGCCTGAGTAGAAAAGTATGTCCCCTGCCAGCAGCTGCAGAGTGGAACCCTTGTTCTTTGTGTGGAAGAGTGCTGAAGTCTGATACACCACCTACAAAATCATACTTATACCTCCCCAAATAACAAAGTCCATGCTTCCTGCTAATTGGAAAGATCAGGTTCAGACTCAGCATGGGTTGTGTCAGATCTCCACAGAGATTGCTGCTTTTGAATGGAGAAGGGTACCCTTTAGAAAAGCCAGTGTCCTGCCAGCATACTTCACTCAGGCTGTGGCTGCTTTTCAAAGAAAACAAACAATCTCTTAGACTCTGTACACCGTTTGTACTGATACACCTTTAATGTGTTTAGCCAATTTAAACAGATGGGATCAATGGGCTTTAAACTCACAGTTATTTAAAACAATGAACTCTCTATGTAGTAGATATCATACCTCAACAGCAGTTAAAAGGGAAGTATGGGAATTTTTTTTCTTTTCTTTTATAATTTATACTTACCTAGACAGATGCAGCATCAATCTGATTCTAAATTTGTCCCCCGTCGGCTCTAAGGGTGAGAACGAAGTGATCAAACACCACTGATTGCTCAATTCTCCCTACCGTGCTCAAAGAGCAGTGACCAGTCACCAATATCTACTCTGCCCCCCACATGCTCACTGGAGCGCTGGGCTGTGAAGGGGAGAGAGTGGCTAGCTCAGTGCAGAGCGCTAAGAGGCCGAGCCAGCTGCCGGTCAAGGGATCTGGGTGGATCCGGTCTTTAAAGTTGAAATCTTTCCACAGCCTGGACCAGCTGAGTGATGTCAGCAGACTTAACCTGCTGTCGGCTGAAAACAGGTCACAGGAGTGAGTTTGAGCGTTCGTTCATTTCAAAAGGCCAGAAAAAAAGAATATTTTGGCCAATGAAATGATGGAATACCCAAACGCTTGACTCACCTGAACGTGCCTAAATGCATTTGAAAAACGGAGCTTAAGGCCTCTTGCACACTGCACATTTCTTTGGCTGCTTTGTGGCGCTTTTTATTTTCTGCCTGTAAAGGCCCCTGCATGTTAGCCTCTGCGTCCATGCATATATAGGCTTTTAGAGGAGTTTAGAGGCAGGAAAAAAACCACTGCCAGTGCGTCCAAGAGCAGCAGCGTTTTAGCAGAAAAAAAACGTTTGACGCCTGTAAACATGCCTAAGTATTAATTTCAATGGTCAGAAATAAGTTATTATTAAGGTCAATGAAATGAAATAACACCCAAGTATTTGACACGCCTAAATGTATTACACACTTTTACAAATGTCAGGTGTTTTTTCTGCCAAAACAATGCTGCTCGGAAGAATGGCTTCTAGGAGAGTTAGCAAACTGTCCTGTGTGCATGAGGACTTAGGTGCATTTTTAGCTCTGCTTTTCTCCTGCCAGAAGAAAAGGCGTTCACAAAAGGTCAGTGTGCATGAGTCCTAAGAGACAAAGGGCTCAATTCACTAAAGATTATCGCATGCGCAAGTCAGTAACATGACCACATATCACATACTGAAAATGTAATTTCACTATTGCTAGTATGCAGTTGTCACGGAGTGCCCGTGCCTTCCACACCCCCCCTGTCTTTGCCTGTCCCTTCACCCCTCCCTCCCCCCTTGCGGATTCCTCCTGTCCTACCAGCCTACATCAAAGGGCTGTGCAGGACGGGAGGAACGCCCCCCTGTGGTGCGGTTAGCACCTTTCCGGCCAAGGTGTCTCCACGCGCCACCGGCGGGCAAGGTGTGGGCGCGAGGCTCCCTCAGCGCGGCCCAAGTGAGGGGGGGGCGTGCCTCGTTGCCCCGGCAACCTGACGCTGGGTCGGCTGTTACTGGGGCAACCCGGAAGCTTTTAAAAGGCCGGCGCGAGACCAGTCTCTCTCTCCCTCCCTCCTGTGCTGTCCTCCTGGAAGCTGCTCCGTTGGGAGGTTCGGGTGGGGACCGGGCCTCCGCAGCCATCCCCGCTGAGCACTCTGCATGAGACTCCCCCAAAGGTCAGAACCATCCCAGGCACAGACCCTGCCGAGCCCCTGCAAGCCTGCTGTGTCCCTACCTGCTGAAGCCCGCTGTGCCCCTATCGGCGGATCGCTGGGTCCCTGGGAAGCTGCCCCTGTCTGCTGACTGCTGGGCCCCTGGGGAGCCGCCTTGTCTGCTGATCGTTGAGCCCCTGGGGAGCAGTCCTGTCTGTTGATCGCTGGGACCTGGGAAGCCGCCCTGTCTGCTGATTGTTGGGCACCAAGGAAGCCATCCTGTCTGCTGATTGCTGGGCCCCTGGAGAGCCACCCTGTCTGCTGATCGTTGAGCCCCTGGGGAGCCGTCCTGTCTGCTGATCGTTGAGCCCCTGGGGAGCCGTCCTGTCTGATTGCTGGGGCCCTGAGAAACCGCCCTGTCTGCTGATTGCTGGGGCCCTGGGAAACCGCCCTGTCTGCTGATCGTTGGGCACCTAGGAAGCCATCCTGTCTGCTGATTGCTGGGCCCCTGGGAAGCCATCCTGTCTGCTGATCGCTGGGCCCCTGGGAAGCCGCCCTGTCTGCTGATCGCTGGGCCCCTGGGAAGCCGCCCTGTCTGCCGATCACTGGGGCCCTGGGAAGCCGTTCTGTCTGCCGATCGTTGGGGCCCTGGGAAGCCACCCTGTCTGCCGATTGCTGGATCCCTGGGAAGCCGCCCTGTCTGCTGATCGCTGGGTCCCTGGGAAGCCGCCCTTTCTGCTGACCGCTTTGTCCCTGGAAGCTGCCGCTGCTGAGCGTCCACAAGTCGCCTACCCCCCCCGGAAGCCGCCTGCTGCTGAGCATCTGCAAGACGCCTATCGTGAGTGTCCCTAGAAGCCAAGAACTGCCCCTATTGTGTGCGCAGACCACCCTTGTCCTGAATTGTCCCTATTGTGTGCACAGACTACCCTTGTCCTGAACTGTCCCTAGTGTGCACTCAGACCACCCTTGTCCTGAACTGTCCCTAGTGTGCGCTCAGACCACCCGTGTCATGAACTGTCCTAAACCCTATTGTGCGCACACAACACCCTTGTCCTGAACTGTCCCTCGTGTGCGCACAAACCACCCGTGTCATGAACTGTCCCTATTGCACGCCCAGTCTACCCTTACTTGAGCCGCCCCATGGCGTGCCCGGAGTATAGCTACCTGGGATGCCCGAGTGCTTGAGCCATCGCTACCTGCTGAGTGCCTGTGAGCCCGATGTCCCTAGAAAGCTGGGTGGGAGCTGTGCTGAGGTCAGCCCCCCTAGTCAAGGTCCCGCTGAGTCCCCGTGAGCCTGTTGTCCCTAGTACACTGTGTGGGAGCTGTGTTGAGGCCAGACTCCACAGCCAAAGTCCCGTTCAGTCCCCGTGAGCCTGATGTTGTCCCTAGTATGCTGTGTGGGAGCTGTGTTGAGACCAGACTCCACAGCCAAAGTCCTGTTGAGTCCCCGTGAGCCAATGTTGTCCCTAGAAAGCTGTGTGGGGGTTGTGCTGAGGTCAAACCCCATCGCCAAGGTCCCATTGAGTCCCCATGAGCCCACTTACCATGGGTGTCCCTACGAGCCGTATGTCACGGAGTGCCATGAACTCTCCTGATTGAATGTCTTTCATAGTGCAATAAAGCTTTGTGTGTTCCCCACCTTCTTTGTGTGTTCTCTCCTGCCTACGCTTCCGTTACAGCGGTATTTACCAAAAATAGCAAAAAACACTCAGTAAATATTGCATAAAAAGACCTTAAGGTCAATTCAGAAAAGGGAATAAATAATTAAATGCATGCGGTAATCAAGTAGTGGTCCAGACATGCGGTATGCATGGTATGTCAGTACTGTCATGGGTTGTTAAGGAATGGGTAGCCGCGTAGTCCTTAACCTATGAGTCGTCAAATGTCAGTGGGGTTCCCCACTGACAGCTGAATTGAAAAATTGCTGGCAATTAACAAACAATTAAAAAACAGCGTGGAGTCCTCCCTCCATCCATACCAAGCCCTTTGGGTCTGGTATGGGTTTTGAGGGGAACCTCCATGCCAAAATGTTTTTAAAAAATGGTGTGGGGTCCCCCCCAAAACTCATACCAGACCATTATTCGAGCATGCAGCCTGGCAGGTCAGGAAAGGGGGGGGGGGCGGGGACAAGCGAGCGCCCTCACCCAAACTATACCAGGCCACATGCCATCAACATGGGGAGGTGGTGCATGTTGATGGGGACAAGGACCTCTTCCCCAGAACCCTGAACCCCCCCCCACGCCATTTTTT